TTGAGCCTTATTGATGGACATCGCGAAGGCAAGACGTACTGGAAACTGAAGACGCTTGAACTCAAACGGCATATCAGTAGGAATCATGGGTATTCGTGGTATGAAGACGTCTTCACCCTTTGCGCAGGCTGTCAGGATGGTTGTTTCGATAACATGAGGCATCAGACTTTTTACACACAGTCTTGTACCATTGCATAGTCTTGGAGCATCCAGGTTCCTCAGAAGCATCAGAGAAGAACCAACTTTGAGCAGCAAGTTGTGTAACGGCATCCCAGACGGCTCGAGAGAATTGAGAAATTCAGTTGGATACTGAATCGCCTCGTTGGCATCCGTAACTGTATCAACCGACTTGTAAGATGTAGTTTCTCCGTGGAGCTGTTGTTGGATCTGTAGGTTGATGACATTCACGCTGTGATTTTTAGGGGCAAGAATAGCACTTTCACATAGCCATTTGTGATCGCTGAAATGGCTCCGGATGTTCGGAAATACACTGCTCTTCAGTACTTCAGTCGATTCGACGACATTGCAAAAAGTATCCGGAATATGGATGAGTCCAGTGATTCGATCAGCTGGTGCTTTTCCATCTCCAAGAATGAGCAGTTGTTGAGCGAAACGGCCAGCAGAGGCATCACCTTGCAAATGAACCCGCATGTTGGTTTGAGGCCCAGCGGTAGGGGTGGCACATTTTCTTTACTGATGCGTTACTTTACTGAGTAAAGCAACGCTTTCAAATATCACCGTATGAGTGACGAACAACCGAAAATGTATTGTTTTATCACCTTGCGGACACAATGCGACTAAAGCGTTACTATATTATGCGTTACTGGTAACGAGTAACGCATGCGTTGTTGCGTTACTAGAAAAGTAACGCAAAAAAGCGTTAAAGTAACGCAAATAACGCTGCGTTACTCGTTACAAAAGCTATGAAAAATAAACGCATCTCGTTAGTAGTTACTGGTAACGAGTAACGCATGCGTTACTCGTTACCAGTAACACAATAACGCATGCGTTACTCGTTACCAGTAACGCAATAACCCATGCGTTATTCGTTATCAGTACCTGTAAAGAAACGGTAAAGCGCCACCCCTACCCGGCGGTATAACGTGTTTCCAGAGGGATGACGATTTTAAACACGCTTTAATCTCATCAGCCATTGTTTCCTTTGGAATAACAGGCAGCGTTTGACGAAAATCACCCGCAAGGAGTACAACAACTCCACACATGTGTTTCCCATTGCCACGAAGATCTTGAAGAGTACGATCCAAGGCCTCTAATGCTTGTCTGTGTGACATTGTGCACTCGTCCCACACAATAAGTTCGCACTCTTCTAGAACCTTGGCTTCCCCAGTTCCTTTGCTGATGTTGCAGAGAGCAGCTTCACAATGTGTAAGGTTAAGAGGCAGCTTTAGTGTTGAATGAGCAGTACGCCCACCGTGAAGCAACGTAGCAGCAATCCCCCCCATTCTGATGACGATATACATTGATACTTTCTGATAGCGTCATCGTATATTGTGATGTGAACATTCTGATGACGATATATGACGCATCAGAAAGAATGTGATACATCATGCGCGTACATCAGAAATGAAAAAGAAAATGAGTAATAGTTTAGGATGTTCCATAGTCAGTGTTGGTGTTCTCCCATTGCGTTTTCTTCCTTCTTCTCTACCATTGTACAGAGCATTATCAACCATTCTGGTTCTTGAATATCTAACCACTTTATTAGTTAACTAAGAATTATATATACACACA